TTTTATGAGGGCCCCTCCCTTTTGCACCCCCAAACACCCCGTGCAATTGTATGTGGCATGTGCATGTGTGGCAGGGTGTCGCCAAGCGAAGGTTAGACTGGGGGGACACCCTGCTAAAAAAAAAAAATAACATATTTTAATAATAATGATAGCAAAACATGGGAAAAACATTAAAAATCAATAAAATTTTAAAAAAAATTTATATTTTTAAAAATAAAAGCATAAACTATAAAAATTTAAAAAAAAAAAAAAAACCTTTATTTATTTTCAAGGAAATTATAAAGCACAAACATTTAAAATAAAATATGTGCTCAGAAGTCGAGGGTATCTAGGCACAGCATCCGCCTTTTTATCCGCCTCCGCATCCGCATCTCCCAGACGCATTCCGGGTATTATTGGAAATCGTGCGCTTCGTTAGCGGCAAATATGTTGCAAAGTAGCCCCAGACAATCCCATCCCCACTTCCGATTTGAAGATATTGCCTATTTCCACTGGCGGCGGCGACTCGCCACCACTTTTCCTGTGGATGACAGTTTTCCTTGGGCTCCTTGGGTTTCTTCTTCTTCTTTATTTTTTTTTTATTCCTCAGCCTTTTAGAAGCCTCCCCCTAAACGGCATGGAATTTCCGCCTCCCAGACAAGTCTTTGTGTTCTCATGTGCGTCTTTCGGTTTTGGCTTTGTTGCCTCGAAGCTTATCATTTATTGCTGCTGATTGCTTCGCCTGTCCATCGAACCACCCCCTGTGCCCCCTTTTTCTTTTTTTTTCTCAAACAACCCACCCCCTGCGCCCCCGAAGGACACCCTCTTTGAATTTTGCATATGCATATGCGTAGCAAACGAAATGAAACGAATGCAGGGGAAAAAAAGTGCCAATAAAGAAATTTAATTTAATTTCCAACTTTGAGATGTATACATATATGTGTGTGAAGCCCCCTTTTGTGAATGGAAATCGAAACGCATTTGTCAGCATTTCGCATTTAAACTTTTCGCCTTAAAGTGCAATTTTCAAACATTTTGCGGCAGATTAAACGAGTGACTGGAGGCGGGATTCGGGATTTGGGGACCCCGGAACACGGTTAAACATTTACATATGTTTATAATTTTGCAACAGGGTAAGGTTTCATTTTTTGGGGGGTTGCCCTTTGTTGGGATATCTAAGGGGGGCGGCGGCAGAAAAAAGGACATCTGTTTAGGACGGATTAGAAGGTTTAAGAGCTGAATGTGATATTACTTTTCAAACTATTTAGGGTAATTTTATAATAATCTGATCTGTTCCAAATCATTGTTAAATAATATAATATATTATATCAATATTTTTAAAAGCCTTTATACCTTGAATTCTAGAGATATTATTTCAAATAATTGCTAAATATTATAAGATATTTTAATATGTTTAGGAACCATTATACCTTGAATTTTCTCGATAATTCAGATAGTATATGTTATGTTTTCCCCCACATACAAGTCGACTCTGGGCGGAGTGTCAGTCGAATTTTTTCGGGCCTGAAGCGACTGCCACTCCCACTCACTTTCAGTTCCAGTTTTACAGTCTACGGAGCACGAAAAAAACCCAGTTTTGTGTCGCTTCAAGTTTGCGAATATTTTGTGCAGTTGCTATTTGATTGGTGAGTGAAAAGCTTCCGTTTCGAACCCAACACCCCTCCACTCCCCGCCCCATCACACACAGCGGTTAACCCTCTGAAGCCCCCACTTTTTCATTGCGGGCGCAGAAATTGTTTGCGATTTTTATCATTTTAAATGGACGAACAACAAGGATGGGAATACAACAAAAAAATGGGCGAAAAAAATGTGTGGCGCAGTCAAGTGGCGGGCATTTAATGCCCATTTTGTAGCCGCTGTTGTTGTTGCCTTTGCGGGTTTTCCGGGCTTTGTTGTTGCGATCTCAAAGGCGGATTTGCATTATAATTTATTGCACTGCCTGCATACGCTTTGTCCTTGTTTTTCCACCCATTTTCCTCCTCTCCGCACTTTTTGCCCTGGCTAATTTCGATGCCAGGGCGGCGATAAGAGAGAAGCGTTTTCTTTAAATGAGTTTTCCCCCTTCCTTCGAAGCGGAGGAAAAGTTCCAAGCAAGAGGCGTTGAAAATCCAGTGCTTAATCCTTGACGCCGCCGCGCAAACATTTTTATAAATTATTAATTTCTTTTCTTCCACCCAACCTCCAACCCCTTTCATTTTCCTTTTTTGTGATGCTGGATTAGAGGAGAAGTTTATTCATATGTAGCCGAAAACAACAAAGAGCTTGGAGCTTAAACTGTCTCGTATTTTTATTAGTCCAGAAGCCGCGTTACACAACCACCCTCCTAACCGCCCTCTAACCGCCCCCCAACCACCCCCTAACCACCCAGCCATTTCCGACCAACCAAAAGGTAACTGCGACACGTAGCTTATTAGCAGCGAAAGCAAAACTTTCATCAGGCTGTGTAAGCCGGGTTTAGCAGAAACGTTCCAAGTCCATAAAGTACAGTTTTCAATAGCCAGAAATCCGGTGCAAAACGAAGGCAACTGAAATGAAACCAAGCGAGGGCTTCAATATCCTTTAACCCTTTAAGTCTTTTCCCCTGAAAACTTAAAAATGAATATCTGCATACATATTTAATGCAAAGATTAGAAGTAAGTGTTTGAACCAAATAGAACAATTATTTTAAATATTTCATGTCCATAAAAAAAGAATTTCACATTCAAATCAAAGTTACAAATATTTAAATTAACTATAATTGTTAAATTTATTATCATCCTATTTAAAATAAAAATAAATTGAATATAAAATCGTTGGATTTACTACTTTTTTATCATTGTAACCTAAAAATACTGTATTCTTTTATTAATATTTAAATTTATTAATAAATATATTTCTCGTTGATTAAGGTTAATAAAGTGTACAACTATTTGGATGAATTTAATTGCACTAAAGCCAAACACATTACTTGTAATTTAAGCACACAGCCCACCGTATTTACTAAATGATATGTGATATCTATTCCCATTTAATTGGTCTCTGTAGTCCAAAACGGAAAAATTCATAACTAAGATATTAGCGTATCGATTTCGAAGACGGCAATTTACTTGGCATTTAATAATTATTTGGGCTGTGCTCTCCCCTCCCCCTTTTAATGTGCTGAAATCCGGGAAACGGGAAATTGTTTAATTATTAAGTAACCCGATGCTTAAAAGCTTAACAAGCAGAGGCCATGAGGGGCGTGGTAGCCTAGCAACGGGGAAGGGGGAGGGGCCGTCATAATTTGGCCAAAAATGTTGATGCCGCCATTAAATCAGAGTCACAGAGTCGTTGCTCTGCTGACCACAGAACCTTTCAGTCGAACCCCCACTTCCCACTTCTCCCCACTTGCTGGCCCACAAAAGTGTCAATAAACGTGGCCAAGGAGGACAATCGAGGGACAGGATCTCTCGCCCGGGGCCAGCTGGTGTCCTTAGCCCGGGCAAACAATAAAATATTCAAAGTTTATAATGTAAATTAACCCAAAGTTGCCTGATGTCCTGTCGCGTCCCTGCTGCCTCCTCTCTAGCCTCATGAATACACAATACACATGTCCCCCGGAAATTGGGAGGTCACCTCGCCCCTTTTGGGTCCCCCATAAGTTCTAATATTTCTCGGGTCCTCAGGATTTGCTCTTCCTCTTCTCCCTTCCGTTTGACTAATCAAATTTTATTGGGCCACTGAGTGCTGGGCGGTCGTAGGAGGCGGTGGGCGTGGCAGTTAGCCCAAGTAGCCACTGGCAAACTATATTTTAATTAGATCAATGCGAAACAAGCGACTATAACTCTAAGGAATATTAGATGAAAAATATATTGTAGCATACTTTTAGACACCTTCAGAATTTTCTCTACGAATTCCTGCTAATTAATTCATATCATTAAGTGACGAATGCCTAATTTGATATATGGGCTGCTGTAAACTGACCTTTGATCGCAGTCAGCCACCATCTTCCATCTCCAGACTCTGGAATGATGGGCTCCTCTGCTTAACTAGCCGCTTATTCATCAAAGCTCCGAAATGCGAAATCCGAAATCCGAAGGCCGGGGAATGATGAATGCCCCCAGCAAATCGGATGAGATGCGAGCAAGTGGAAGAGCCAAAGGAGATGGAAGTAGAGACTCCAGTGGTCACATGCCAGGGAGCCCGCTCAAGTGTTGTTGGGACATAAACATCTCCAGGCCCACATGAAATGTCATCTTTCATTAGATTAACGATTGTTCCAGTGGCGGGGAATGCTGTGGTGGCAAACGGGGGGCAAACGGGGGACTCGGCGTCCAGTGGCAAAGCTCTCTGCCCGAAATCAAATCTTCAACAATCTGTTCTGCCAAATGCCTCCGCACACACACACACACACAGATGAAAGGCGGGGAATCCCCGGCATATGGCTCCCCGCAAAAAAGTGTCAAATGCGTGGGGACAGAGGCGGCGAGAGGGGGTGAAGGGGGGGCCTAGATAGAGAGGGCAAAACGAGCCTATGGCGCCAGGAACACCAGACCAGGACTATGGGATCCAGGACGACTGTCAACTTGAGCCTGACAAAGTATTTGCGGCTTGCCAGTCATTTTTTGTGTCTGTGGAGGGGGGACCGGGGATTGTGTGCGTGCACTGAGAGAAAAAGTTATTGCAATAAAATCTTAGTTTGCAGTTTAAATTATTTCTGAATTTTGGTTTTTTGTTTTGGATTTTTATATCAAGCCGTTTTGGCTGGAGAAGCTACTTCCCTTTTTTTTAAGCCCTCATTATATTGCATTAGATAAATATAATTTTTTTTTAATGTACCTTTTTGTTGACTGACCAGCAGAGGCGGTGGCAGTGAAATTGCGAGTGGGGGTTGTGGAGTCAGCAGGAATAAAAGCAAATGAGCCTTGAACCAAATGCAAATTAATATGTGGTGCTGCAGGGCGGGATTCCCACCCCTCAGTTAGTCATCCCAAACTGACCCCTCGTCTCTTCTTCTTTTTCAGGAACCATCCAAAGCAGCCATGTCCCAGGAATCAGAGGAGAATCCTGTTCCTCTAACCGAAATGGCTGAGGATAAAGCTGTTACTCCTCCGATTACTGATAATATATCTATTGATTCCAAAGAGGGCAAGGAAATTCTCCCGAAACCGGAGGAGAAAGCCCATGAAGCCATGGAATCCTCCAGCGAGGAGCCAACCACTTCCACCCCCACCACCTCGGTGATCATGGTGGAGCAGCCCAACACCATTATCGAACTGGTGGACCTCTATGTGCCTCCGGTGCCGCTAATGCCCTTCATGAACAACGAGGCGGGACGTCCCTTCTTTCCGCCCTTCGGCAGGGGCAACCCGCCCACCCTGCTGTACACCGAACCCACCTCGCCGCCCCAGGAAAAGAAGCCGGCGAGGAGTGGGCGTGGTCGTGGCAGGCGTGGTCGCAGGGGCGGTGGCGCCTCCTCGACCTCTGGAGCCGCCCCCAAAACCACCCGTGGCGTGAAGCGTCGTCGCCGGGCGGAGTCGCCACCGCCGCTGCCGCCGGTGCCGAACTTCCTGGAGAACTGCATCAATCCGCTGGAGAATGAGATCTACCCCAAGGTCATAGTGCAGCCGGCCCAGCAGCCGTGGGTGCTGCCCAAGAACCTGGGAGAACCGGAGCCACCACCACCACCACCACCGCCAGCGAAGCCCAAAGTGGAGCAGCCTTCAATACCCGTCAGCGGTGCGGTGGTCACTCCCACCAGCCCAACGAAGCCGGTGGTTAGCCAATCCCTGCTGCGCCAGAAGCTCCAGCTCTTTGGGCCCGAGGTGCAGCTCTTCCAGCTGCAAGGTCACGACCCCATGCGCTACAAGGCCGTCTTAAAGGAGGCGAATGGCCAGCAGCGTCACTTGATCTTCACCGCCGAGCAGCTGTTGTCCTTCAGCCGGCTGAGCACGGGAATCTTCAAGCATTTGCCACCGGTGAATGTGCCGCTGCAGCTGCAGATGCCCCTGCCGCAACCCTCGGCCGCCACCGTTTCCCACTACTTTCCCGGTCCCGGAGGTCAACTGCTGGCGAATCAGTATTTGTCCGGCGCCCAAGGGACAACGACCCTTAAGCCGCCGGAGGCTCCCACCTTCAAGCCTCCGATTGCCCGGCCTCCGCAGGCCGTGAGCTCAGCTCCCAGGATGGCCTATCCCACCTATGTGCATCCCGGGATTCCAAGTGCTCCAGTTGCTTCTCCAGTTGCTACTCCAGTGGCTACTCCAGTTGCTACTCCAGCTCCTCCACCAGTGGTTCCATCGCCACCAGTTGCTCCACCTGAAGTCACTCCTCCTCCTCCAGTGTCCATCAAACCACCCGAACCACCCACCCTGATCCCCGCCAACTTTGCTGTGCCCTCGATCCTCAGGCACAAGGCGCAGCTGAGGCTGCGAATCCAGAGGGAGAAGGTCCGAAAGGCGGCCGAGTTGGCCAAGTTAAACGAGGAAAATGATAAGAAGTCAAACCAGGGATAATCTCTCCTGTAAAACCTATGATAATTTCACACACATATCATATATAAATAAAAATAGCACTGCTCATTGGCTTTGGAAAATTAAAAAAAAAAACAAATTTTTCCTAAAAACCAAAATTTCTATTTTTCACAAAAAAATAATTGTTACGGTCAGAAACGTAACAATGAAAATATTGATCCAAATATGGATTGTCATACCTTTCTGAACTCGTTATTAAATTTCCTAACGATTGGCATTTAAACCTTGACTTTTTATTTATTTTTAATTTTTCGCAAAAATCATGGGGTACCCCCTTATAAAAAAATTCAAAATTGGCGAAAATTTTATTTTTCCAAAATCACACGGAAAGTTTAATGGATTTATTGCAAATTTTGTTATCTGTTCAAAACAGTATGTATTTTTTGTGTAGGACCATTTTTGGCCAAGTTACAGCAAAAAAAAAAACAAAAAAAATTCAAATTTTTGTCAAAAACCCAGATCCCAATTTTTTACAAAAAAAATAATTGGTTTTTTGACCGTAACAATGGACATATTGACCCAAATATGGATTGTCATACCTTTCGTTATTAAATTTCCAATCGATTGGCGTTAAAACCTGTACATTTTATTTTTTATGCCATTTTTCGGAAAAAATCAAAATCAAAATTGATACCACATTACGTAAAATCAATCATCGTTTCATATTACCTTTTTTTTCGGGTGTAGTGTGTAATCGAGTGTGTGACCGATGTCAATACTTCATTATTAACTCCGATAATTGGGACTCAATCAGGCCTCAAATAAATAAAATAAAATAAAATAAAATCAAATTAAATGCAAATGCGTCACTTGCATACTTTATTGCTTACTTATAGGGGAAGTTCCTAACTAGTTCGTACAAAATATAAAAAAAAAACAATTGTATAAATTAAAGTTTAGTTTAGAAGTGATACTGTTGTTCTTAAGGGCAGGTTGGAAAGGGGTGTTTTGAAGACCTGCATTAACTATTTCCCACTTGCGGTGAACTTAATAAGTTAACAACAAGCCGGAGTAGTTGGCTGGCCATTAGGAATCCACGGTGGCCGAGTGGAAAGCACTGGTTCCCCTGCTCCGGGAACTGGTTGTCCTGGCCTGCTGGATCCTGGCTTCCCCGGGGATTCCCCCTGCTCACTCCTCACTCCTTGGGCACTTGGAAAACTTTGGCTTTGGGCATGGCCACCGGCAGGGAGCGGTCCACGTAGGCAAAGTTGTCCACCACGCTGGAGGACAGAATGCCGCCCATTACGAGCAGGGCTCCGCTGATGCCAATTTTCGACCACATGCTGTTGCTACTCCGGAACTGGGAACTACTGGAAGGGTCCTACGATGCTACCACTAAGGTTCTGTGCGAGTGCGAAACGAACGCGGGTAGAGCTGTTTGCAGTATGCGCGGGACGCACGCCCTGCATGGGGCCTTATATACACTATATGGAGTCCCACTCAGAACTCAGAACACAGAACCCGCGGGAAGCTTTGGGTGTCCGATGTGCCGGCGGTCACGTCGGCCAGTCCGATGCCTCCAGGTTCCACGGAAGGCGCAAATCAGAAAAGCTCCCAGAAAATAAACCGCCGACCGATGCATTTCCACTTCCCCGCCCCCATTATCGACTCATTAGATAAGCGCGATTCGCACTTCGATGGCAAAAAGCTCTGGCATATGTGCGAATAGCTGCACGGAGAGAAAATCTTATCAAAAACTATATAAAATTTAAGGGTATAATATAAAAATCACTTTGTATTCGAAATCACTTCAAAAGGTGTCTAAAAGTATGCAATAAAAAAAGAACGCTGGACTTTTGGATTTTATTAGAGATAGTTCAATTATTTAATCAGCTCTTAAAACAAATATTCCTGGTTTAAGAAAATAATAAAATAATATTAATAAAAAAATGTAATACTAAAATAAAAACTAAGATTTTAAATCTTAAAAATTCCCAAAAGTTTTTTTTCCCCAGTGCAATGTATAAACACAAGTCTACGCGAATCAGATATTTTTATATTTTCGCAATGTTTTTGTTTGTTTATTCGCGGACTCGGTTTATTAGCAGTGTTTATCAAGAACGCCTAATCTCGGAACGGGGTGCGTCACTATCTAAACAATTTGCGCCTAAACACGAACACATTTGTGGGCAAACATTTAATAGCCGATTTCCCTTTCATGTTTGCTTTCAAGTTTGCACTATCTGGAGAAGCAGCTGGGTCAAAACTTGGATTTGTTTAGCTGTTACAAGTGCAGTAATATTTACTGATTTTTATCGCCGACTGACAGAGCGACAAAAAATAACGCAAATGAAGCAACGAAGTGTCGTTAAGCATTCGCGATTAACTGCGAAAATCGTACTACCGGCAAAGCTCTTTCGGGAGATTTACAATCGACACTTTTTACGAGTAGACTTTCCTCAATAAAATGGGAATGCATCAGCACAAATCTACAAAAAATGCCAAGGGATGAGATCATTTTCGGATGGGGCAACTAAAATGTGTCGTCAATTCGCATTGTTTTGCTTTCAAAACCAATGACAGTCCATGAGTTTCGTAAATGATGTGTTTCTAATATTCAGAAAGCTCTAAGTTTGTAAAACTCCATGACTCCATGACATATATGTATAACCGCAAGTTTAAGTGAAATTTAATGACTAATTTTTAAAATATTTGACGAGTCTCTAAAGTTTATTATATAATAATAAAATAAATTTTAGTTTATGAAAAATTATATATTTTCATTATATACAAACGATTAGAATTTTTAATTTAACTTAAACTGTCTAAAATATGTAAAAACTTCGCTTAAAGCCCAACTGAGTAGATAATTGAGTTGATAACATGATAACTCAAGCTCAGCGATTCGCAATAATTCTCTTGACTGAATGTGCTAATTTTTCGATGGCGTTTTTGGCCATCTTCAAACGAAATGTGTGCGATATTTTAGCCATCTGAAGGGGGAAAGAGGGGAGGAGAGTCTGGCACGCTTTTAATCGCTTCAGCAACAACTAATAAACTATGTTTAAATATAGCCCCGCAGATAACAACAACAAATTGCCAGAGGAAACTCCTCCCGTACTCTGCTGCCATTTACGCGCAAAATTAATCGAAGCCCATAAAGCAGCGTAAACAAAGACAAACCCACGGATCGGGGGGCAATGGAATATATATATATGTATATAGTGGGCGGGGGCGGGGAAATAGTGGGCGGCTGACATCGTCGCATGCAGATAAACAGACATTAATAATAGAAATATTTGGTCCTACGAGCACACAACTTGCGGGCGAGGGGGCGTGGCACAGGCAAACAGATTGCCAACATTAGTATTCCAGCAGCTCTTTGGACCAACTACCTATGCACTGAAGGAAATTCCGATCAAATATATATACATATATTCTTTTAATTTTTAGATTTTCTTATATAATTTCCCCATCTTTATGATACAAATTTATATTTATTTTGAGAGTTAATTTTAAGAATAGTTTTATTTAGTTCAGTGTGGCCTTTTCCGCTTGCACTGCACATAAGCTTTGTGCCAGGATCTGTTGAGTGGAACCCACCGTTGTCCTGGCAACACCAACTATGCTCCCAAAAGGGGCTTAGTTGCCAACGAAAAAGCCGGAACGCGAAAAATTCACGGGCAAATGACGTAAACATCAGATGATTGCCAAATACATACATTTAGCTAATGATCAACAAGTTTTGAACTCTTTTATCTAGAATTTGTTATATACTAGAATTTAACATAGATTATTTAAGAATTTTATTTGCTGTTCCTGAACTCATCATAAAGTAAGAGTTGATAAGATTGCGATTACTTGTATCAAGGCCTCGCGTTCTTAACTTTAGAGAGTTCTTTCCTGCTCTTATTATTTAGTACCAAACAACCTTGGATTTTAAAAGCGTATTTAAGCTTTTGCTAAGATTTCTAACCCCTTTAACTTATTTTAACTTTAAAAGTTGCTTTATCAGTCTCTCAAAACTTCTTAACCCCTCGAATGATTGGCGACAAGTCGGTTGGCAGCAGCGAACTCAATCGACTTCCGGTTGTGCCAATTTTTGGTCTAAGCCAAGACATTCGCGCTGCCTAACCAAAACCGAAGCCTAAACCGCTGGGGCATTTTCCAACCATTTTCCACCGACTTTCCATCCACTATCCACCCGCTTTTCACCCACTCCAGCTGAGTATTTGCCTGGCGCGCTTCGTTTGTTCGCTTGCATTTCCTTCCGGCTGGCCCTTATACGCCGACAGTCGGCGGAAAAGTCGCTGGGAAAATGGGTGCTGTGTGCCGGGAAAACCTCAAGTAAACAGGCAGCAAGCTAAACCATAGCCTAACCCAACAACATGCCATATACCCTAGACCCTATACCATATAGCACCCCTTCGCAACCACTCATCCAACACCATTTTCTTTTCCACAAATTGAATTCTCGCGCGCGCATTTTCATTTGGCACACTCGTCGGTGTGTTTGTGTGTGTGTGTGCCTGTGTATTTGTTTGTTAATTTTCGCACAGGAAAATTGCATCAGCTGAGGGGTTTCCACAGAACGGTTTTTCTCTCCTCTTCTTTTTTTCGCCAGCCGCAACAGGAGAAATGCGCGCAACTTTCCACGTGTGGCGACGACGGAGACTGCAGCGGGCAGGTGGAAAATGAAGGGGGCGTGGCCGTGGGGGAAAATCCAGCAGATCGATAGACAATCAACTAATGATTGCGTGTGAAAAGTTTATGGTGGATAATACATTACTTATTGCTGCAGCGAAAGTGGTAAGCCTTCGAAAAGTCCTAGTTTCTCTGATCCAAAACACATGTACTTTCTTTTTCCATATCTTGGATCGTAAGAGATCAGTGACTCTGGAACATTGACTGCGGTCAGTGAGGGATTATCATTCTACCGATTATAAACCCACTTCTTATCTGTGTATAAAACCCAAGCAGGGGCATTGCATTTTAATTTATGGACAAATTTTACGTGTCTATTGCACTGCAACCGATGTGAGTGTGTGCGCCATTTAATTTTCAATGTAATTTCACGCACAAATGCCTCCAATTGCCGGGCGGATGATGTTGCAATTCCCCCCCTCCTTTCGGGAACCGAACTCCTATGAGGCCCTAATATACTCCCATTTCAACTCCTGTAGTTACAGCTCAGTTCAATATAAAATCTTAGTGATTATGTGGGGAAAATAGAGGTAAATTAAATTGTGGCAGGGATCTTTTAAATTTAGAAAATTAAAATAAAATATAATATATCCTAAAAGTTACATAAATAAGATATTTTTTTGGGACATACATCATTTTTAATTACTCCCCAAGTCATTACTATTTTCGCGACCGCCATAGTAGATCCTATGAAGCGGCATAATCATCATAATCGCGTTGACACTACAAGCGAACGCCTGTGAGTGCGACAGAGATGGCGAGTAAGCGGGGGAAAGAGACGGCAGATAGCGAAACGCATCGGGTGCAAAAACACTTTTATAGAAACCCCCCACCCCCTTTTACCGACTTTCTTTTTGCCTCTGTCGCCGTCGCGCGATTAGCGATTGCTTATCAATTAACACAGTTGGCCAGCTATCAAAGTGGATGCCTCAAAGGCCCCGTCGATAAGGCGAAATAAGTCGACCGAACTTTGCCAAGCGGCTTAAGGCGTGCCAACCCCCTCCCCTTCCGGCGCCCCTGGGAAATGGAAATTGGGGGCGGGCTGTAAGCCATATGGGGTGTCACCTTCGCAGCTTAATGGTCGGTTATAATGATACGGATACAGATATCTATGTGTGTTGATGGAGCCACTTGGGTGGAATAAGCCGAAGGTAAAATAAATGATTGAGCTTATAGTAATATTTGTTAAAGCTGTATTTCCTAATTTTACAAAAATATTTAATTTAATTGGCAACCCTGAAATCGTAAATACATTTCCAGCTCTTTTCAATCCTCGGGCTGTTTACCAACACTGCACTTTTTGGATTTTGAGTGGCGTGAAAATAAATACATTTCCGCACGCGTTGCCGGAAAACAAAAGGCAACGGCCTTTGTATTATTTTCAAGCCACCCTCCGCCCATGGACCACCCCCCCGAAACCAACACCCACCCCCTTTCTGTGCTATGAACTGAGCCCGTTGTAATGTGCGTTAATAAATTTGATTTTAGATTCTCTCTCGAGCCATCAACTTTAAAGTGTCGCTCAGCCAGCCCGCACTTGCCGAAAAAACACCACCCACCACTCCAGAATCTCGTTTTTATCAGTTTAATGGGCGGGTCGTAATGCAATTTGTAGCCCCCCCTCGGAAGCCTCTGTCTCTGCTGCTGTGTAAGGCAATTTTGATAAATTTATGTGGAATACGCTTTCATGATAAGCTAATTAAATTCAATCGCAGTAACCAACTTGCCCAAAAACCGAAATGCTCTGTCTCCCCTGCCCCCCTTTCCATTGCCCACCCTTTTCCCACACCGCCCCTGGCCGCCAGCCTGCAGCCTCCTGATTTTCGTTTGGTTAAAGCTCAGCGATTGTTTCCATATCGTTGGGTAAACTAAAGTGGGAAAATTAGCGACAAGCGAATGATTTTTGGCTGAAGAGAAAATCAAAAGGAAAGCGAGGACTGGTGAAAAAGGTTAGGCTTGTGGAATTAAGATTTAACTACATAATTCTAGGATCTAAAAAACGCTGCCGTACAAAACCAATATGACTCAAGATTAGTGCGATGGAATAGGGTAATATACGTAGGCATTTGGAAAACTTTATTTAATTATTAACTCACGAAAATAATAGTTAACCGAATTCCCATTTTCCGCCTTAAAGAAATCAGTTTTTCAGTCGACATGCTGCGAAATAAATTCCACATATATACTCTATCCATGAACTCTTGATGAAATTTCCTACCGATTGTCATTCAAACCTAGAAATTTTCATTTTATGCATTTTTTGCCAAAAATTTTATTTTTTCAAGATCACCCGGAAAGTGTCTTGGATTTATTTATTATTTTGTTATCTGTTCAAAACAGTATGTCCAAGTGTATATACTCTCCGATCCTAATGACGCTAATAGTATTTAAAATTCCTAGGCCATCAAAAATGCGTGCTTAAAATCAGTTTAAAGCACTTCCAATTAGCGTCAGCCAACTAAAACAACCCAAAAAGTCCCGTCACGATATGTAATGGAATGCAACATGATTTCACAGATACTATTTGCCTGCAATCCCATTTCCAGAGCTGCAGGAACATCCGTTGACGATTTGGACAAACACTGTGTAAATTTTGTGGAAAAACATGCGCCATTAACATAATTATAATTAGGCCCGACAAGCGAATTAAATTCAATTTTCATTATTTTTAATGAAGAATGAGCATGGAAAAAAAGGTGGGGGAAAGCGAAAAAGCGGAAAAGTGGCTGGGAGGCTTTTTCCACTAGTGGAAAAAACACGACCACATCAACATATTTATCGCATTTGGCCAGCTCCGTGTCTTGTTGCATATGTTTGGGCGTTCATGCGTGAGCCCGATTTGCATATTAAACGCCGAACACGAGGATAACGATAATAAATCGAACCTAATGGCAGTCGGGGACAGGCGGTCACATTCCGGGAAAACATTCACGCGGTTATCGCAGCATAGCTATTTAAAGAGATCCTCTGGCCTCGAAAATTCTATAGAAATCAACGGGTTTTTTAAATCACTTCTAAAGGTGTCTAAAAGTATGCAACAATATATTTTTTAAATACGTTATAAAAAATCGACAGTGTGCTATTAACATCGGTATTATCGAATCGATTCTGTCAAAATATCGAAAATATCGATCAAGCTCTATTTATAATTGATTTTAAAAATTTCTTTTTCTTTTCAGATTTTTAAAAGTCTTGTTTTTTATTCACAATAAACCTTTTTTCGCTTTTCACTGACTTGGATTTGTATTACATGGTTTTCCAGCAACAAATCAGCAACTCAAAGTGTCGTCGATTGCAAATATGCCGATCATCCCATCAATATTTGCCGGCACTTCATCAGTAGGTAAAGGTGATGCAAGCAAGGCCACAAAATCTAGTTATGCAAGTCTAGTGAAAATATTTGGAGTCATTACAGAATGTGATTCGCGTCTGGCGAGCAAAAATCATAAAGGTAAATATGTTTTATGCTAACGAGTACAATGCCAGAGCAAAAGGTAAACATTGGAGCGGCTAGAAAGTTGGCAAATGAGTTTTATGGGAAATATTTATCATATGTCCCATGAGAGACACCTCTGAAAAATAGAAAAAACAACCTCTCTGCATTTCAGATGCGATGCTTTGGCGCTTAATTAAGCAGATGCCTGCATACGCAATAGTAAGTGGCTGCTGCTGGGGCTTTGATTCGCATCTGCCTTCTTTCACTTTGACCCACGCGAAGATTTGCATAATTCGGCCATCTAAAGTGTCTTGCCAATTTGATGCACGAAAGTGAGTCGCCAGTGCGAAAAAAGAGAATCGCAAATCGCGAATCGCGAAAACCGGTCGGTAGCCAAATCCAAACACCGTGTTGAACACCTGTTGAGGTGTTTTCCGCCCAGGGAGGCAGGCTGTTAGAAAACAGAGTTGCCAAGTCATTCACTTTCTAAACTTATATTTGTATTGACAAATTTTTAAATATTTTTAAACAGCTTGAAACATTAGTTTATTTATTTTTAAGAATGCTTAGAATTATAGAAGAATTAAAAGGAATTCTTAATAAATTTAGTTCTGTTACAGTTTCTAGGAAATAGAATTGCCACTCGAATTTCTAAGTGAATTTTTCAATAATAAATATTCAAAAATTAAAAAAAAAATTTATATTTTTAAGAGCACTGTATTTTTTTTTTGATTATTCCTAAATTTACATTTTTACATTCACCACTGATCTGCAGCTTAACCTTTGGACCTTCAAGATTAATTGCCTCCGCTGATTGGGTCTCTCGGAAAAATCGGTGCATTAGTTTATACACCTCTTGGGTCAGCGAATGTCATCGGAATTGAAATTTGGAATGGGGAATGGGAAGATGGGAAGATGGGGGCGAGCATTTCTCTTCGCTGTGACCCACATTTTTCGATCGTATATATAGTAGCCTCGGGGCAAAGCATTGTCATCAGTTTACGAGCTCAGCTCCCCAATCCCACTTCGTCCATCGCCAAGTGCCAGTTCAACCCAAGCGGAACCGACAACAAGATGAAGGTAAGTTCGTGGATCCTAAATATTCGGACTTATAGGGTAATCCTATATTTCATCTCCAGGTTTTCGTCTGCCTGATTGCCTGCTTTAGCCTGGCCCAATCCGGATATATCGGAGGTGGTGGCGGTGGCTGGTCTTCCGGCGGAGGCGGTGGTGGTTGGTCCTCCGGCGGTGGTGCTGCACCCCCCACCATTGTCAAGGTCATCAGCGAGGAGGCTGGCCATGGCGGCTGGTCCTCCGGTGGATCTGGAGGTGGTTGGTCATCTGGAGGTGGTTGGTCCTCCGGTGGTGGCCATGGAGCTGCCGAGGAGCTCAAGATCATCAAGGTGATCAGTGAATCGGGTCACTCGCATCATGATCACTCCCATGATCACGGGCACGGTCACGGTCACAGCCACGGCTCGGAGGTGAAGATCATTAAGGTCATCCAGGAGGAGGACCATGGTCATGGTCATGGTCATGGCTACGACTACTCCAGCGGCGGCTATGGAGGTCACCACACCGAGGATGTCAAGATCATCAAGCTGATCAGCTCCGGAATCGCCGATGGCGGTTGGTCCTCCGGCGGTTCGGGAGGCGGTTGGTCCTCTGGAGCTCCCAGCGGTGGCTGGTCTTCCGGCTGGAACTAAGGAGATCCGAGGAAATCCCAGGCAGATCCAAGTCCCCAGGCAATCCAGTGCGTTGATGCCAACTCTTTTGTTCCTGTTGTTCGAGTTGCACGGCGATATTGGCTCTTTTTTTCTGATGTTACGAAGTTATGTTTAAGATAGTGCACGCTTTTTGTGTGTGCGCTTAGAAACTATTAGTTTTTTTTTTGTATTTTTGTTAACTGTTTACAAAATATATATGAACGAAAAAAAACATAAACCTCTGTCTGATTCTTTGTCTATCGCTTGGAAAGCCCCAATAAGTGATTACTCATGTTTGGGGGTTTTTTAAGAGCATCTTTGTTTCGCCGGTTTCGCTTTCCACTTAACCCATTTTGCGACACCCGAATGTTTGCCATTATATAATATATTTAAAACCAGTTTGTCATATTATTTTTAAGTAGCCTTATATCATATAAGGGTTTAAAATTACTTGGCAATTTTTTAATAAAAAAAATCAAATTATAAGTAGTTTCAAATTATGTGACAATAATATTGTTCATTTGCATTCACTTCGTTGGTAGCACTTGATATATTTTGTAGGTGCTATTTTTCGTATAAAAAATTATTTTTAAATTGTAGAGATTGGATAGAAAATCCATTTTGGTACCCCCAGCTCGAAATGGGTTAAGCTCAAGGTTAGATCGTGTTAAAAAGCAGCTTGGCAAAGGGAATGAAACCATTACCAGACTGGTAATTATGTCCATTCTGACCATGCTGTGAGATAAGTAATTCCCCCACCAAAACATATAATTGCGGATGCGTCTCGGTTTTGTTTTGAATTTCCATCATGAGATAATTCGTTGTATATTTGATGGTGCCGTCCGTAACTAGTTTTGTGTATGGAAACCGAAAACGGATTTAAGTCTTTCGGTTCTTCTTGTTTTGTTTTTACTTACAAATTCGTGAGCTCCGATTTTTTTTCGATGAGCTCCAGCATACATATTTTATGCCTTAATTAATGGATACTCAGACGTTGGGGTGACTAATTAAGATTGTATATACTTAATCCCATGCATATTTACTACCTCACCACCAATTCGATCTGCATTCGATTTCCCAGCCCAAAGATATTTCTCGTATGTCAAATATTACTGAGTCTAATGGCTACTGAAATGGTTACATAAATTTATTTCTAGACTCCGGATATTATGTGTTATATTTAACTGCCTTATGCCGCTGTGAATATCATGAGAAATAAACATTTATTAGGACGCTTAAAAAATGCAATAACTCAAAGGTTGAAATGAACAAAAAAAAAATGTGGACAGCGAAAAGAAATATTCATCAAAAATAAATGCCTTCCGATTGCGTTAAATAATAAAAATTAAGTTTAATGGTTTTCTTTGTGAATGCATTTCGTTTATTTATTTATGCTCAAGAAGTCAACCTTGACCTTTATTATATTTCTAAAATAAAGAAATATACATAATTTTATTTAAATGAAAGTACACCTTAATTTTGAATGTTTTTAAATATTGTTTAGAATGGTTTTCCTTGATAATACAATCTCGAAATTCGATCGATATTTATTGATAGATATTTATTAAAATATTTCCTTACGAAATATTCTTTAGAATTGATAGTCCAATCTCGAAATTCGATCATTACGTTATTCGTGACGCCAAAGGCCATTCCAGTCGAACATGGAAAATCACCGACAATCAGCGGGAAATGTATGGCTCATCTATCAGATCGAGAAGTGAAGGTTGGCTTGGGCTTTGCTTTTGGCTTTGGCCAACTTTTTCAACCGAATCGAGTTGGCGGTACGGACAATTAATAAGCATTCTGTTTGACCCATCGCCACTGCGGGCCAAGAGTTAATGGCGCCCCGATCGCGTTGGCCGAATCAATCAAGATCGGAATTGTGTTGGGTACAGAGATGGCAATGTTACAAAAAACAATATATAGTCCACAAAAACATCATAGTTTAGGGATTACTCATCATAAGCTCTTAAGATGTAATCTTATAATATTACTTTTAATTTATTTTAATGAAATAATTATTGTTTTTAATTTTTAGAATTGTTAAGACTTTAGTAGCCTACTCTATATAATATCCACCACTAGCCTGTGCGATCGCTACCTGTTTATTGGATCATGCTGCGGGCTGGCTATTGTTTATTATTTTTGCAACTTTGTGTCGATTTGGGTGCATTGCATAACATCGAGCTGAAAATGCGCTATCAAATGGTCTCGTCTCAACGGGGCAAGTGCAGTATTGCTCTGGGGAAGGGTTCGGTTTGGTTTTCTATCCCGCGACGACCTGCCGATGCAAGTTGGCCCACTTGACAGCTCCACAGCTCCGACTGCCTGGATTGCAACACGGAGACCGAGACATAAATTAGCTGGAAGCCCGGTGCCGCGGGTGGAGATCGGATGGAATCGTACAGTATGGTATGGTAGGGGTTATAGGGATGGGTTGCGGTGGGGTGGGGTCAGGGCCGTTGCCCTCATGCAGACCAGACAGCTGGAAATGGTAATGGTAATGATGATGCCGAAACTATCTCCGAACGAACCATCGCGTGGACCGGCAATTAGTGTGTCATACACACGACCAGGCTCCACACAGTGGACACACAAAAACAAGGGATTATATAAAAAAATCTTCAAATAAATAAAAAATTTATAATAACAAATTTTGAAGAAGTAAAAAAGTTGTTAGTACTAGAAAATCAACTAAAAATTGGTTATTCGGTTTTACAATCAGTTATTTAATTAAAAAGAAGAAAATGTTTTTACTAGCTAGAGTTTTTGAGAAGCGCGTAGAGAGGCGCATTTTGACCGAAGCTTAAAAGTAGTTCATATGAAGATGTCTCCTAACCAGTAACTGGATCTAGTATCTCTTCACCATTTCGCTTAGTTTGCACTAGACCCAGACCCACTGTGCGCCGCAGCAGTTGGGGCAGGGCAGGGTTAAGTGAGCCAAGCTGGTTACCGAGCATCCAAACAGTTGAGCATTTGAGCCAGCGGGCCATAAAAGCAGCGGCCAAAACACTGCAGACCACAGTCGAAGATCGCCCTTCCATCTCGACACAGTCGCAGTTCTTCTCCAGGCAATCAATCTCTAAAAAACACCTCGACATGAAGGTGCGTCAAGTGGTGGCTTTAAGTGTTGCGGATTAACACTTGCGAAGAAAGCAAAGCTTTATTTTTTTTTCTGTGTTTCGTAGTGGTTTTTATTTTTTTTGTGCTCAATTAAGGCGTTTCCTGCTGATCTCTTGCAGGTTTTCGTCTGCTTGCTGGCGGTGTGCAGTATGGCCCATGCGGGATTCCTGGGCGGCGGCGGAAGTGCCGTTAGCTCCGGCTGGTCCTCGGGCGGCGGAGGAGGATATGGCGGTGGCTACAGCGGTGGCCACGGAGGAGGTGGCTACAGCGGAGGCGGTGGCTATGGAGGCGGTGGCTATGGAGGCGGTGGCTACAGTGGAGGCCATGGAGGAGGCGGTGGCACCGTTAAGATCATCAAGGTGATCACCGATTCTGGAGCTGGCGGCGGCTACGGAGGCGGTGGCTACAGCGGAGGCCATGGCGGTGGCTACGGAGGTGGCTCATCCGGTGGCTACAGCGGAGGTCACGGCGGTGGCTGGTCCTCAGGTGGCTACAGCGGTGGTGGTGGATATGGCGGCGGCGGTGGCTACGGAAGCGGTGGCAACATCAAGATCATCAAGGTCATCTCCGATTCCGGCTCGAGCGGCGGCTACGGTGGTGGCTATGGAGGTGGTTCCGCCGGTGGCTACTCCTCCGGCGGCTACTCCTCCGGCGGCGGTTGGGCTCCTCAGGGCGGCTGGGCCCAGAGCAGTTGGTAAACGCTCTTCGTTGGTCAACGGATGCTATTTTGTTACTGTTTCTAACCGACCTTAATTGTAAATACTTCCCAACATTAATGAATAAATAAACAGAGTTGAGCCATTCCACCAAAAAAAAAAATAATTGTCAATTAACCCAGCAGCTAGAGATTTTGAGAAGCGCTTAGAAGGGCGCGTTTTAAATGAAAATGTCAAGATGCTAGCAAAAGCCATTTGTATTACTTTTTAATGGTGTTTTACGCAAGGTTTCTCAACATTTAAGTATCAACTCAACGCTGCGTCTCATTTACCTTTTTGAAGATTGTTAAGCTGTTAGTTAAACTACTGTTTTAATTACCGGCCAACTAAACAAAGAATCTATTAATCGTGCACTATGAATTTACAAAATGTAGATAGCAGTATGCAAGTGGAATGCCAAGGGAACTCTAACTGGAATCCTGGGCCAAAAGACGTCGGATGTCGTCCTGCTCGGCTGCCTCCGCGTAGCTCTGACCTTGGGGCGTCCTCTCCGTGCGACTGGCGCCCATCTGCAGCAGGAACTCGACGCAGCGCGTGTGACCCTCCCAGATGGCCGCCAAGAGCGGTGTGATCCCGTACTTGTCCTTGCGATCCACCTCCGCCCCAATCCGCACGAAGAACTTGAGCAGCTTCAGCTGGCCAAAGTCGGCGGCATAGTGCAGGGGAAAGCGGACGCCCATCTGATCGTTGACATTGTGGCAGCCGGCCAGGAAAAAGCGCTCCACCTCATCGTACTCGCCGTGCTTAATCGTCCAGATGATGTCCTCGATGCTGCCCATCGTTAACTAACTCTCGCTTTCTCAGTGCGACAGTACAGTCAAATCGTGCGATTTAAATTAAGTCTGGATAGTTTGGAAAGCTTGCTGCTTTGTTGCTTAGATTCTAAAAAAATCCCTTTCATTCTTTAAAACTATTAAATAATATCCTCAATGAATCTGTCAGAGAATCTGTCTCCCTCCGCCGTCATAAAGTTGTCCCCGCATTTTATTTATCGATGGTAACCCACAAAATTTGACAGTTGTCAGGTGCCGCTGTTGCTGGCAATGTTTTATTTTACATTTCTGTTTTCTCTTCTTTTTTTTTGTAGCGCCAGTTTTTGGTTTTTTGTGTTGTGTTAACCCTTCGTTAACCCCATACGCATGTCGGGCCATCTGTCCCCATCCTTTCGCCCGTGTGTACACTTTACATATAGTACATATATCCCGCCACCGCCCACCAAAACCGACGGCTTCGTACGCGCCAGACGCAATTTGTATGCAAATTTCCATGAGAATCTCAACACATGCAATAACAACAACACAAAGGACATAGGAGCACAGCAGCAGCAGTAGCAGTAGCAGCAACGGCAACGGCAGCAGTGGCAACAAAAAATTGACTGAGCATGAATGCAGAGCGGGGGGTTTTGGCAACCAATTGGTTACAAATACATAATAAGAAATGGACAGAAATAAAACGAGAGGGAGCATTGCCATTGCGAAAGTGAAATGTTAAAAAGTGTCCAACAAGTAGGAATCTTGAGGAGGAAAAGAAAATAATTACCAACAGCTAGAGATTTTGAGAAGCGCGTAGAAGGGCGCGTTTAAATGAAATGCATGTGGTCCACAAGTAGAGATGTTGAGAAGCGCGTAGAAGGGCGCACTTGAGCCAGAGCCGAATTAACCCGCTAAATTTGGGCGTGGCAGCCACACATACACACACACACTCACACACACACTCTAAGGCTCAGTATAATAATAGTCAAGTAGCGGGTGCCGGAAATAAAAATAAAAATAAAATTAACTTCAATTGTTCTGCTGCTCGCACTTAGATAGTGTGTGGTATTCGGTGGCTGGAATGGGTTTTCCTAGGGGTTACAGGGAGGTTACAGGGGGGTTTACCGAAGCCACTTTCTATGCAAATTTTTATGTGTTAAATGCATTTTGTTGGATTTAACATTCTCGCTGATTTTTTGGTTTACATTTTTGCATATAAATGAGGGCAAACTTTGCTTCGCCGGTTCGCCTGGGAAAGCCCAGAAAAGGGGCGTGGCCCACACACACACACACAGAGAGAGTGAGAGAGAGACACACAAATTAGAGGATTAAGTAGCTTGCTCCTTTCCCATTTCCACTTTCCACTTTCTCCTTTCGCCTTGGCTCTTTTGTCTCACAAGAAGAAGCCGAAGCAACAGCAGCGGCGAGACAATTACGCTAATTCGCCTGAAATTGTTTTGCATTTTCCAAACCCGAACCCAAGACCTTCCACCCATTTTCCACCCCCACTTTCCCACCCACTCATTGCCAGGAAAATGACAATGACTACGACTGCATACATGTGTGGGTGAAAAGCAGAATCTTTTCATCGCTTGTTTAAACAGTTAAATTTGATTGCGCTGTAAATAAAGAAGAGAGCGAGAAAACTATGGGCGGAAAACCCCTTATTATATCCGCACCGAAGGAAGTTTACTTAATTGTGCAACAATTTCTTCAGCCCCCCTCTCACCACCCATAAATCGCAACGTTCTGCTCGGTCTAATTAAAAGATAAGAATACACATCAAAGAAGCGCTGAAGTAAGATGGAACGCCCCACAATGGATTGACAAATAGGCTTTTACTCGGTTATTAAGGGTATCTACATATTTATTTATATTACTACACCCAAAAAAAACTGGATATGTAACGATGATCGATTTTACGTTATGTGGTAGGTAAAAATCCGAAGAGAACACTAAAATTTTTTAAACATAAGTTCTTTATTTATTTTCCTGCACCATAAATAAACGTAGCCCGTCCATCAGTCCAACTATTAAAGCATCTGGTGCAAAAAAAAGAAAAACAGATAAATAAAAACCGAAATGAATGGAAAAATAGGAAAAACAATTCACTCGCCTAGAACAAATTTCCCTGAAATTGTGCACATTTCCGCGCATTCACCAACATACCACCCACTTTTGACTTTTCCCATAAATAAACATCACAATTATCATAGGTAAACAACAAAATAAATACGGGGAAAAACACGGGAAAAACAAAAAAAAAAGAAGTGAAGAGAAGAGGAGCAGCAATTCAATTTCCATAGCTTTTCGCGGTCCGACTGTTTACATTTTCAGTTTTCAGTTTTCGGTTTTACGAGGTTTTCGAGGGCTCGAGGATTCGAGGGCTCGAGGATTCGAGGGTTCGAGGGGGCTGAGAACTTCGCCCAAGTCGCCAACTTTAAGTTTAATTGTTGCTGCTCTCGCAGTTGATTGCTTAAAATTCATAATGATAATAATAATAATAGTGCGCTCTTCACTAATTGCAGCAGCAGCAACAGCGGCACACAAACACTCGAATTGTTCACTTGAGAGGGGCGGCGATGGCGAGAGGGGGGTGCCGAAGGGAAAGGGGGGCGAAGCACTTAAGTCAAAGTGAGAGAAACTTTTCAGCGCCAGTCGAATGGGCCAGTAGATAGGAAAATTCGCAGGACGAAGGACGAGGAGCTGGCAGGGATATGCCCATTCACTCATTCATTCATTCATTCGCCCATTCAACCATTTTGCCGCTTGCATTCAGGCAAAATTGTTCCACAAAGATACGAGTAACGAGTGGCGAAGGAGGAAGGGGGCAGGGGAAGTCAGCTCGATGGAACGTGGGCTAGGATATCCTAGCTGGTTGAAGGCACTGCAAAAAATTAGGTATGAATATGAATTCGATAAGTGGAATTGCAAGTTTAGACGAAAATACTCTACTTATTAGCGAATTTTTGATGGTAATTTGAATAAATCAAGTCCCACAGCGAAAAGAATGACTGTTCCGAGTAGCTTACAACCTAAACTAACGATCCGCATCACTTTCTGGAACATTTATTTTTTGAACGATTTTCGCATTTTTTATAAGGGGTTACATCATGTTTTTTTTAGAAAAATTGACTAAAAATAAAATGTCCAGGCTTAAGTGCCAATCGATTGGAAATTTAATGACGAGTTCAGAAAGGTATGACAATCCATATTTGGATTAATATTTCCATTGTTACGGTCAAAAAAAGAATTATTTTTTTGTGAAAAATTGGGACCTGATATTTTGGTAAAAATTTGAATTTTTCTTTTTGTTTTTTTTGCTGTAACTTGGCCAAAAATGGTCCAACACCAAAAATACATACTGTTTTGAACAGATAACAAAACAATAAATAAATCCATGACACTTTCCGGGCGATCTTGAAAAAATAAAATTTTTGGCAATTTTCAATTTTTTTATAAGGGGGTACATCATAATTTTTTACAAAAAAAGGCAAAAAAATAAAATTTTCAGGTTTTAATGCCATTCGATAGAAAATTTCATTACGAGTTCAACGATGTATGACATCATAGTTTTGGACGTTTATTTCCTTTGTTTCGACCAAAATTCTGACTTTTTTCGGCGGAAAATCAGTATCTGGGTTCTTTTAGTAGTGGCTTTTTACTGTAACTTGGCTGACTAATATTTTTCTAAAACTAATATTTTTTAAAACCCCACTTCACTGCCAATTTTGCCAGTGTATAGCTTTTCGCCAGGCAGCAATGAGACACAGAGAGAAAAGGGGACACAAACAGAGGGCCCAAAACACTCCAGCCCATTCACATCTCGAGTGCACTTCATTGCTGTCGCATCTACCCAATCCTCGTCCTCGTCCTTGGATCCCCGGCTCCCTGGCTCCCTGTCTCCCTGGATCTCTGGATGCCTGACTCACAGCAAGTCCTTGTTTTGAAGTCCTGGCTGAGCGCTGAGAACGTCGAATGCCGCGGGCGCTGCTTAACTTTAACTTGAACTCTAAAATAACAACCTTCCGTTGTTTTTGGCTTGTTCAGTTTTCGTATAATTTCCTTGCAGGTATTTTCATTGCCCCAACCACCCAGCCACCCACTCAGCCACCCACCCATGACAGCTGAGGAAGGACAATGGCAGGGACATTGACAGCGGTTCGGTTCGGTTAGGTTCGGGAGCAGGACTCTCGCCCAGCGGGCATTCAACCAGCTGCCAGTGAATAAGTGAGTGAATGACTCACTGATTGAGCGAATGAATAGGCGAGTAGCAGATACTCGCAAATTAAGCTTGAGCGGCGAATGAATAAGTGAGTGAATGGGTGAATGTACGAAGTGGCGGGCCGAGAGTCCATTGAATACTTAAAAATATAAGTGAGTGTATTTAAATCTAAATAAATACTTCCCTCTTTTATTCAATACATTCTATTTGTTCAAGAGTCATTAGCCATTGCATTCACTGGCATTCCGGGATTTATTTACAGCCAAGACTCCCTCGAAGAATAAATAATTTGTGATGTGATTGTGATTGTGAGTGGCTGAATATATATATGCATGTGTGAAAATCGCATCGAGAGGATAAATCCAAGCTGATTACGTAGTCGGAAGCAGAGGGATTATAGGGGAGTGTGGGGCGGTGTGATCAAATCAGGACACTCGATTACTCATTCACTGCACTCATTACACTTGATGAGTGTTTGGCATTCAGTTGCTAGCTGCCCTGCTTATCTTTATGCAACTTTGCTGTGCTACTTGCTACTTAGGACCTGACCCCTCCTCAAACTCCCCCTGAAAACTGGCCGCAACCCACAGCTCAATTTCAAGGAAATGAAGGAGACTGCAAGTGCTTTTCCCCAATTTCCCTGCAGCAAATTCCCCCTACCCCTGACCTTACCTGATCGCCCCATCCTCCGCCACCACAGCCATCCAATCCGAAGGGCATTATCAGACGGTGTTCGTTGTAAATGCTGGGAATCTTTATGCCTCCATCGAATGCCCCATGCCCCGTCCCCCTTCCACCATCCTCCATCCCTGTCGCTCCCGTCCAGCTGCTGTGTTGTCATAATAGCATGTGCCACGCCTTCCCAAGCAGTCGCCGAGGGCGGTCTATAATAAAAATAACAACTTAACTAAGTAGACGATGCTATATAACAGACTGCACTGCGAAAAAAAGAGTGGGGAAAAAAAGGATGATAAGTATATGATAAACTACTCATTCTATTGTTCAGATACCTAAAGTTAGTTGTAATAAAAAGGAGAGATTTAGTTTAGAGTTAAAGATTTATTCAAAATACTTTAAAGTAAAAAAATAAAGTAAAAGTATATTATTTAAATAATTAATATTAAATATATATATTTTTTTTTAATCCAAAAAAATGCAATTTATTTTATTCTTTTTTTTCTCTCTGCTTTATCCATCTTCTTCCAGATCTCTCTACATATTTGTTGCCTTGACAATCAGTTTAGTGGGTGGAATTGGGAGCGCTGCATCATCAGGCAGTTCTTGTCAAACTGTAAGCCGC